TGTACACTGTTTCATAGGATGGTTGAATTATGTCCTCTTTGACCTTGTTTTTGGAGACTACCTTGTGGCTATTAAACGGGCTATCTGTACATGTTCACTGAAGGGAATCAAACCCCAATTCCTAGAATTGTAAGTCCGTAAACTTACGATGTCAGTGATACATCAGCCAACTATCATATGAAGTAGAGATACATTCACATTTAGATGACCTCCTTTTTTGTGATTGGACAGTTTCAGAGAGAAAATATGTTTTGGGCATGTAGGTGTGGTTCATTCAGAGAAGTTCAGTTCATTTTTTAGAGAGAAACTCCCCATGAAGTACCAAATCTGTCATCATATTTCTATTTGCTGATTGTGCACATTTTATTCTAACTTAAGTTCAACTCCAGGTTAAGTTTGGTGTAATCTACTACTTTAATTCTAAATACAATTTATTTTATTTTTAGTACTTTTTTCACTTTACAATGCAGATGTCTCACCACTGTAGATTAATAGCCATTTTTCTGTTTATGCTCAAAATAAAGTATTTTGTTTTCAATTGAACTATGCACCATTTCTTGTATCAACAAGTTACTTCACATGTCCTTGTGTATATCAGAGCTATGAATCTGTTGTTGTGCAGAGATAGAGCAACTATACCCTTGAGTTATCACAGATTAACAAGATTAAGCAAACTGGAACATTGACCAGAAACTAATTATTATAAAAGTGTTAATTACTTTGTGTCCTCAATCCCTCACATTTGTGCTCTGAATCAAGACATGCCTTTGCATTCTGGAAATAACTTTAGCACATATGATGGTGAGAACGGATGAGCCCCAATTAACACATGGTGTCCTTCTTAGATGCCAAGTGTTTCCCCTCAACTATGACCTGAATTACAGTACCACTAGTCAAATCAGTTGGTCTCGACCAGATCAGCTGAGCACAAGGGTACAGATGGGGAGTAATCAATAAGATTTGAATATTGCAAATCTACCGAGACCTACTGGAGAAATCTACTGAGATTAGCATCCATCACTGTTGACACTCTTTGCTGGATAACAAATGATTGAGTATCTGCTGCTTAGTTTGAATGGTCTAGCACTAGAATACTTGGAGCTTAATAAACTCTGCAGCAGGAATGTTACTGTTACAGGGTTGCATCAGCAACTCAACTGGTTACAAAACTGTGACATTTAAAGACCCTTAAAAAAAGGCCGAAAGATCAGGTAGAATAAAAATAAACATCTGTCTGTTGTCTTCATTTAAAATGGTTTCCATTCTTCAGTCAGCACTGAAACCTATTACAAATAATAAAAAATCTTTGAAGAATATAAGCCCTTATATGGAAATTTGCCAAGTGTAGTGAAGACAGATTGAAATAGAACAATATTGTATATTTTGCAAGTATGCTGTATAACCCAACAAACTAGCTATGGTTCTCCACTAAAGAAGTAGACAGTAACTGTTTTTATCCTATCGAAGATCTCTAGTGTACTACATTGTTTACACTTATTTTGTGTTAGTAGTGTCAGATGTGTGTATCCATAGACAGAGACACAGTTCGGTGAGCAATTGAATGTATGTATCCATAGACAGAGACACAG